ATGACCAACTCTTGTCCCTCTTAATTTTAAAAATAACCAAGTTTTTATTGTATTTTATGCGCGGCCAAGGCCAACAAAACAAACGGACACTCATATCAAAGAACTTTGCCAGGCTTTGGAACAATTCTCCTCCTGATCATTAACAATGACTGCATGCACAGCTTAATGAGTAGCACAGCTTAATTTGGATTTACTTAAATTTATTAGTAATTCTCTAATCATACGCCTGTAATTTGTACTGGATCTCAAGCTGTTTTCTGAGATTACGAAACCATGTTATGCGATTGGTCAATATATAAAGATAAAAACGAAACAGTGTGAAGTCCAAACTAGTTTGTCTGGTGCTACTGACTGACAGACTGACTGACTGATCGACTGACTGACTGACTGACTGATCGACTGACTGACTGACTGACTGACGGACTGACTGACTGGTTGCCTGACTAATTGGCTGACTGAATGACTGACTGACTGACTGACGACGGACTGACGGACTGACAGACGGTGGGTCGGACGGACGGACTGATCGCCTGACCGAATAACCGACTGACCGACTTAAACTGACACTTTCATGATTTTTTTTTTAGTGATAAGGACGATTGCTAAGAATACTTTCTGCTCGTAAAGTTGATTGTCAAATATCTCCTGTAATTTTTTTTTTTTTGGTCTTAATAGCGTAAAAGGTAATGCGAAAGCTCCTGTTGTGGACCTTTTGGGGCTGAGCACCCGTACAGGTACCACAACCGCTCTTTTTAGTCCCTAAAAGTTACGACGAGCATCCCTTTTTAAATGGGATTCACCCCCCCCACCCCTCTTCCTTGGCCGCCACTTTTATTGCACGCAACCCAAAAGCTTGGAAAGTCAAAAGTGGTCTATTACAAAACGAGGAACCCCGCTGCGCTAAAACTTTGTAAAGCATCAATTTCTTAGACCTCAGAAATAGAGTTAATTTGAAAACCGGAAATCACACAGAACATTGTACGTAATAAGGACAAAAACCTTTGGTTATGATACCTACGTGAAGTAAAACGATCACTGACCTGGGACACTTTGGTAAGCCACACCTCTCCCCAGTTTTATCCTGGTCAGGGCGTCTTCTCTTCCTGTGTGCTTTAGTGAATTTTATTTACTTTTTTTTAATTCTGCTTACTGGTTGGTCGGTACCGAGAGTCAGAGCTATTAAGGAGATATTCTTCAGTTGTTGCTAAGTTGTTGCTCAGTGTCATGAAGATTTAGAACGTTCAAAGTAATATTCAGTTTTTTTCAAAAGAGAAGAGAAGTAGAATACAGAAGAAGTAGAGCTAAAACAATGTTTGGCGGAGGGGTTTCAAGAAGGCGAGCGAGCCGTAGTGAGCGGTCCATAAGTCCTAATTTGAACAATTTATGTAAATATGGACAAAATCTCGATTTGCTGTTTTAACCAGAATCCTTTGCATTACCTTATAGCCCCATAGAAAATAAATCCGTAAGCTGCCATTGGTACTGGTAATTTAAACATGAAACTATATTAGAACAACATTGATTTCCGTTGTTTAGTTCATTACCGCTGTTAAGTCGTTCAGTCCATCCACATACGTACCTACTCCTGTTTTGAATTCATCTCTGTTACCTTTGGATGAACCCTTCCAGTTATACAAACCAGCGCAAAAATCCAGAGGTCAAGCGATGATCAGTTTTGCACGCGCTTTCCTTCGGATTAATTATGCTGCGAAGAAAAACTTCTTCACCATCTATAACACAACCTTCTTGCCACAAAATGCTACAAACTTTCTTGTTTGCTTGTTGCCTCTAGTTCAATGATAGCGTAATGTCAACGACATTTAACAGGATTGATTATTGCCAAGATAAAAGGGCAACTGTTGTTTCTAGAGATGAGAATGACTACTAAGAGGATAATATCCTCTTAGTAGTTATACTATAT